AGTGCCCAAAAGCACAAGGTGTGCAATACTCAGAGACATGGCCAAGGTAAGAAAGGCTGAAAGACGACCACCACTGAACAAGACACACAAGCTGAAACGTCAAGACTGGGCCAAGAAATATCTCAAGACTGATTTTTCTAAGGTTTTATGGACTGATGAAATGAGAGTGAGTCTTGATGGGCCAGATGGATGGGCCCGTGGCTGGATTGGTAAAGGGCAGAGAGCTCCAGTCCGACTCAGACGCCAGCAAGGTGGAGGTGGAGTACTGGTTTGGGCTGGTATCATCAAAGATGAGCTTGTGGGGCCTTTTCGGGTTGAGGATGGAGTCAAGCTCAACTCCCAGTCCTACTGCCAGTTCCTGGAAGACACCTTCTTCAAGCAGTGGTACAGGAAGAAGTCTGCATCCTTCAAGAAAAACATGATTTTCATGCAGGACAATGCTCCATCACACGCGTCCAAGTACTCCACAGCGTGGCTGGCAAGAAAGGGTATAAAAGAAGGAAATCTAATGACATGGCCTCCTTGTTCACCTGATCTGAACCCCATTGAGAACCTGTGGTCCATCATCAAATGTGAGATTTACAAGGAGGGAAAACAGTACACCTCTCTGAACAGTGTCTGGGAGGCTGTGGTTGCTGCTGCACGCAATGTTGATGGTGAACTGATCAAAACACTGACAGAATCCATGGATGGCAGGCTTTTGAGTGTCCTTGCAAAGAAAGGTGGCTATATTGGTCACTGATTTGTTTTTGTTTTGTTTTTGAATGTCAGAAATGTATATTTGTGAATGTTGAGATGTTATATTGGTTTCACTGGTAATAATAAATAATTGAAATGGGTATATATTTGTTTTTTGTTAAGTTGCCTAATAATTATGCACAGTAATAGTCACCTGCACACACAGATATCCCCCTAACATAGCTATAACTAAAAACAAACTAAAAACTACTTCCAAAAATATTCAGCTTTGATTTTAATGAGTTTTTTGGGTTCATTGAGAACATGGTTGTTGTTCAATAATAAAATTAATCCTCAAAAATACAACTTGCCTAATAATTCTGCACTCCCTGTATTAAAAGATGTCTGAAGGATGAAAAGAGGATAAAAAAATCTTTAGATGGGCAGAGGAAAAAAAAAAACAAGAAAAAAATAAATAATGTCTTAAAAGCTCTACGTTTATTCTATGATGGAGAAAAAAAAATCAGAGAAAACAAATCTATACAACTTTAAAAGGCAGAAAGAAAGCTAAATGAAATACCTTTTTGAAGAATGTGAGAGCACATTGAGAAGGAGCACAAGGCCGGTAATTATGATTGCACTGCAGTTTCATCTTTTTGAAGGTTTCATTTCCAGACAGGAACAGAATGTTATGCTTTTATCTCTTATATAAAGAGGGAATCGCTTTGATGAAAGAATGAACATTTTCTTGTTTTGCTTTTTTTGTTGGTCAAATGTATCTCAGAGTACAGTACCATCGATTCTGTCTTGGTTTGGCCCATCTAAACTTGTATACTTGAACTCTCGAGCTGTGACTCATTCCACTCCTTGCATGGTCCTTTTTCTATTAATTAAACTAAGCACATTACGATGGGCTGCATGATAATATTTTGGGACTATTCCTGGTCGGAAATTGCATTAATGTAAGTTTGTCTTTAAACCAGTCATCACCATTTTACATTTCTAAATCAGTTTTCTTTCTTTTAAAGTGATCTATTCTAGTAAAAAATATTTATACAGGCTATGCAGAGCATGAGTTAAGACAAAATTATAAACCTGCAGTGGCTGTGGTTTACTAGAGAGGGGGTGGCTGGAGTTTAGTAGAGAGGAGGTGGGTTGGGTTTAGTAGAGAGAGGTCGGCTTGGGTTTAGTAGAGAGGGGGATAGGGTTCAGGGGTTAGGGAGGGCTGGGATTTAGTTGGGAGGGAGTCTGAGGTTTGGTGGCATGGTCCCAATCCACAAGTTTACAAAGGTATATGGCCCTTGTCAAAGTCTGGTTTAAATCACTGCCTTCAGCACTTTATATGTTTAAAAAAAAAAAAACTTAATTAGAACTAAATAATAAAATATGTTTTTTTATATATATAAAATATATATACCAATAGCAAATTTGGCACTCTTCCCAGTCACATAAAACCAAAAACAGACTCTGCCAGGGTGCAAACCCGCGAAAAATACACGAAGAAATCAATTAAGGTGTACTTGTGGGCTTGAAAAAATATACCTAGTTTATTGTGCAAAGAAAATGTTGATCGACGTTTCGTCTAAAGGTCTTTCTCAAGGAGGCTCACTCCTGGATCTTGAGGAAGACCTTTAAAGGTCGAAACGTTGATGAACATTTTATTTGCACAATAAACTAGTTATATTTTTTCAAGCCCAGAAGTGCACCTTCATTGAAATAGGGAAATGATAGCACTCCAAGGACTAATATGAAGTAAAAATAAAACTTAGCTTTTATTCAGGTTGTTGGCTGGTAAAAAATGTTTCTCTATTTCTGTATATTTTGGCATACTATTTATTTGGACTGGAGTGCAGGCATTTGGATTTATTTCTCTCTCTCTCTCTCTCTCTCTCTCTCTCTCTCTCTCTCTCTCTCTCTATATATATATATATATATATATATATATAAATACTTTGCTATGTGCCATATATATATATACATTTTATAATAACTTTAAATATATTAATTAATTTTATTTTTAATGAATTTTAATTAAATATATATTAATATCAAAAGAGTATAAATATATATATATATATATATATATATATATATATATATATAATAAAAATACATTAAAAATAAAATTGATTTAGATAAATACATATTTCATTTAGTTCTAATTTCCTAATTAAGTTGTGTAGTTATTTTTTAATTATGGTAAAAAATGTGTGGGTGTTTTTTACATCTTTAAGTTGGAGCGTGAAAGGGTGCCAAATGATGTAGGTACGCCCCTGGGAGTATATTATACTCTATATTATAGAGTATAGAAGGGAAACTTCAGTTTTAAAAAATATCTGAAGAGGGGGCCACATTGCAGCAACCAGTGACCCAGGCAAGGTGTTTTCTAACAAGGTTATTCACTAAATAAAAAAAATAAAAAAAGCAAAAATAGCTGATCTGGAAAAATACTTCACGTTAACCATGGAGGTTAGTGAATAGCATTGTAAGCCTATCAGTGCTTTTGAGTGAATGGCATAGCTAGAGATCATGAAGCTACCAGAGGACAATCAACAAACACTCCTTAGAACTATATTTCAATGTCTTAATATTTATTGAGTTTTAAGCAAACATAGAAAAAGAAGAGAAAAGGGGAGCAGTATACCATCAAATTTGGAGGTTAATAAAATTCAGTAGCTTAGAACCACTTGGTAACATTCAGCATAATTGTAGGATGACTTTGCATCAGCCTCTCTGACGATTGTATATTAATATCAGAAAGTCCTAACAAGCTTAATTATAAAGAAAAATTATAAAAGATAAAATAAAACAGGAGTTTAATTTTTGTTTTTTAAAAGATATTGAGTAACCAACCTAGACAGAATATCTTGTGTAGGTTATACTGTATAGTAATGTGTACCTAACTGAATTGCTGGTTTTATAATCCAATGTTTACGTGCTTGGAATGGATTCCAAATATTATGCTATCTTTAAAAAATGAAAATATGTTGGCAATGAGGTGCTAGTGGAGCATTATAGCCATGGAAGCCAATGGATTTATTTCCATAAACTTGGAGAACATGACTTGTCCTGTAAAAGTGAAGATGTTAAAGGGCTTTGACGTAATTATTTTTGTGCTGATGGGAATAGCTCAGTACCTTCAGCCTATATAGCCTTATATCAAATCATTCTTAAATGATTCCATCCTAAACCAGGGGACGAGGCATGGAGCACTGTAGTCACTAAAACATGTCAAACTATTTAGAAGAGGTTTGATTTAAAAAAAAAAAAGTAGGGCTCACTTTGACATTTGACACTAGAGACTGCCCTCCCCCATCCATTCTGATATTGTAAAATCACTACAATTTTGTCTAACCTAGGCAGCGTTGATAGACAGAGTGCTGGGCTACTGTCCCACAAAGCCAACTGGTAGAATATCATAAAAACAATACTACAACATGTTTTATAATTTAAAATCTTCATGGGAATATTTTAAATATAACAATGTGTGTGATCATTTGCTTACGTGACATGTGGTGATCCCCACCACAACAGCACTCTGCATAGACATTGTTCACTAATCCATGTCCCTTTAAACACACCATACCTATCAACAAACAAGAGTCATATAGCATCCAGCACACTCCAGTCTCAAATAAAACACTTAACCAATTTTAAATGTAAAATAATCCTCCACCATTATATCTAAAATACGGTATAACCCTTTAAGAGTTCAGTCAGAACAAATATATTTTGCATGTGATTTCACTAACATAGCACACCATAACTATAGTTACCAATACTGTAGTACAAAATCTCATGTTGCCGTGTTGATTAACGATTTACAGTTTAAAATGGCAAGTTATTTAGATCAGATGGCAAGGTCTTAAATACATTTATAGGAGAGAAATAGCCTGCCATAACAAGGTCCCTTTCTAGACGCAGGTAGTTATTTCTGATTCCCATGACAACCATTTTTTGTCATATTTGTTAAATTTACTAAATATTTCTTTATAAAGTCAAAGAACAATTCATTTTTTTTAAATCCACTAACTATAAAGACTTTTTAAATGTCCTTACAAATTAAAGGAGCAGTCCAAGCACCATAACCACTACAGCTTGCTATGTCCTGGCACCCCCTATTGTAAGTGGTCACACAGTTTTAAAAATGGTTTGTGGGTCTATTATTTATATAGCACCAACATATTCTTCAGCTGTTTGCAATGAACAAATCAAACAAAAGCAACTGAAATAGACCAACACAACAAATGCTTCAAGTGGTTTCCCAAAATCCAACTGAAAATGCATCTTATAATGACTTCTCTAGTCTCAAAATTATTCAACCCTACGGCCATACCAGTCTGAAAGTGCCTAATCTTGTCAGATCTCAGAAGCCATCCAGACTCGGGCATGGTTAGTACTAGTATGGGAGACCAACTAGGAACCTCAGGATTCTGTTCTGGGATCCCTTCTATTTAACATGTTTATAAATGATCTTGAAAAAGCCATGTTTCAGTGTTTGCAGATGACAGAAAACTCTGTGAAATAATACAACGTGAGCAAGATATTACTTTGCTGCAGAGGGATTTAGATAGACTGGGGGACTGGGCACTCAAATGGCAGATGAAATTTAATGTTGAAAAATGCAAAGTTATGCACTTCGGTGTAAAGAATGCACAAGCAACGTATAACCTTAATGGAAGCGAATTAGGGATAACAACACACAAAAAGGACTGGGGAATTGTTATAGACAACAAACTATGCAACAATGTGCAATGTGAATCAGCAGTGGCTAAGGCCAGTAAGGTATTGTCATGCATGAAAAAGGGCATTCATTCTCGGGATGAGAATACCATTTTGTCTCTTTATAAATCACTGGTTAGACCACATATTGCTTACGCTGTGCTTTTTTGGGCACCTGTTCTAAAGAAGGATATTATGGCACTAGAAAAAGTGCAGAGACAGGCTACAAAATTAATAAAAGGAATGGAACATATCAGCTATGAAGAAAGGTTAACAAATTTAAACCAATTTAGTTTAGAAAAACGTCGTCTGAAAGAGGATATGATAACATTATACAAATATATTCGGGGCCAATACAAACCAAACTGTTGGAAATCTATTCATAAACCGGACTTTACATAGGACACAAGGTCATGCGTTTAGACTGGAAGAAAGAAGATTTTTGTCTAAGGATGTGGATTTCTCTGCCTGAAGAAGTTGTTTTATCATACAGATGTCCATACAGCTACTAGATGCATACTTGCAAAAACAGAATATTCAAGGATATAATCTTTCAATGTAGGGTAATAACTGCTTGATCCAAGGATAAATCTGTCTGCCATTCTAGGGTCGAGAAGGAATTTTTTTCATAGTTTGTTGCAAAATTGGAAGTGCTTCAAACTGTTTTTTTTTTTTTTGCCTTCTTTTGGATCAACAGCAAAAAACAAATGTGAGGTAGGCTGAACTTGATGGATGCAAGTCTCTTTTCAGCTATGTAACTATGTAACAATGTAACTTTGTAACCCCTCATGGCAGGCATCTTTAGTACTTACTAGAGAACTTTTTTTGCTGTTATGACCTGCTGCAAATGAGATGCATAACCTGACAGACTGTGTTTATGAGGAATCTTAGCCCATGTGCAATGGCCTCCAGTTCGGTAATATTCCTGGGTTTGAATGCTGCAGCCGTTTTCTTTAAATCCCACCAGAGATTTTTCTACGGGATTCAAGTCAGGTGGCTGTGATGAAATTTCCAGTACTTCCTCAGCAACTAACCCTTGGTGGAGTTTAAGGTACGCTTGGGATCATTGTCTTGTTGGAAGATCCAATGATGCTCAAGCTTCAGGCTCCTCACAGGGGGCATGATGTTTTTTCCTAGGATTTCCTGATATTTCAGTGAATCCATGTTGGTTCCACACACTGCAGGTTTCCAGTGCCAGAGGAAGCAAAGCAGCCACAGAGCATCATCAAGCCACCACCATCCTTAAGTGTGGGCAAAGTATTTTTTCCAGCATATGCTTAATTCTTCTTCCTCCAGACATAATGATGATCCATTGGGCCAGAATGTTCCAGTTTTGTTTCATAGCTCAACAAAACAGAATCCCAAAACATCTATGGCTTATTTATATGATTTGGAGCATGTTGAAACTGACTTTTCTTGAGCTTTTTGGGTCAGTAGCTTTCTGCCCAGTCCAGGTAGTGTAACCACTGTTTCTTCAACTTTGAACTTGCGAAATATGCTTCCAATGGGGTCTCTAGAAACATTCAGTACCTTTGCTATCTTTTTAGATCCTCTTCCTTGTTTGTGAAAGGTGATTATTTTGTCTCTTAACTTTGTGGACCATTCTTTAGACTTAGCCATATTCCTAACATGCAGTCAAACGTGACACCCCTAGCCAGTTCAGGTATTTCAAGTGTTCCAGCTCAAGCACAACTAGTGCAACTAATGAGGCCCACGATTAGCTGCATCGGGTGTGCCTGAAACAACACCTCTTTTGCACATTTGTGCTGTTGTGAGGGGGTGTATAATTTAGAGAGTGGAAAAGTCATTATAAGTTGCATTCTCAGTTAAATTTGGGAAAACCACTTAAATCATTTGTTGTGTTGAGTTATTGCTATTGCTTTTGTTTGATTTGTTCATTGCAAACAGCTGAAAATAAAAAGTTAATATAAATATTCCACACTATAATTTGAGTATTGGTACACTGTTATTATTCTTTATATAGAGAAAACAATTTTCCCAGAGCTTTAAAATTATAGAATGGAGATATTGGACAGCAAGTAATTGACATACAAATAATACTGACATAGCGAAGAGGTAAAGAAGATACTGCTTAAATGAGCTTACAATCTAGAACATTTCCATTTATTACTGTATCTGAGTGTGAGAAGATGAACATTTCAGTTTCCATATTTGTGTAATGTACCTCTAGGAGGCAGAAAAGTAGTTTAATTAGTAGATTTAACTTAAATGATAGCATAAGTAAAGCATCCAAACAAAGCTTCAGAGTCTGCCCCTATCTCGGAGCATGCCTTTATACATTATATTTCATTGTAATGTGTACATCCCATTCTTCTTTAATATTTTATTGAATCTTCAAGAAGACCAAATTTGGAATTATAAAGAATTGCAATTTATATATTTAAATACACAAGTTTGATATTTTCCATTTGCCTTTTTTTTAACCTAGAATTTATATTTTCATTCTAAATGCAAAAGATTCGATTGCTTTCAGTGCTGTAACAAATTTTCCATACTATTTTACTTCATTTTCAATATTATTTTCCAAACCATGTCCACTCCAGAGAAGTATTTTTTGCTTCTTAAACTTAGTTCTCTAGCTAGATTCATTACCCCTTAAACTCCTTTTTGAGGGTATATTATATTTCACTATTGTCTGTTATTGTACCGTATATATCTCATATTATATGTGTAATAATGTATTTGTATGTGCTCTTTGGGACATTTTTTTTAAACTAGAGAACTATCAATGTATCCTTCCTGGTTAAATATTTTATAAATATTTTGTTTTTCTTATCAATTATAATTTTCTTTAGAGTCTTGTAAGGTGCATATGGGAGCAAATGACTCAATCATTCCATTTTATAAACACATGCAGGTACACTTCAAATACTTTACTTTCCAAACATTCCTTTCTGTGATCTTGTGTGATGTGTCTGTGATGAAAAATGCCCTGTCTGTCATGGGGAAAATTGCTCCTGAGGCCAACAATTTCTTCTTTACTTTCCATGTGGGTTTTAGGGCTTTTAGAACCTATGTCAGAGGTTATGCTCACCTGGAATACATTTTTAGTTTTTTTCAAAATTCTTTATTTTTAAAAGGTTTTGTATCATTTGGAAAGGTCACATACAATAACAATGTATACAGGAGGGAAACATGACATGTAGTAATAGAGATACAGTCTGCATAACAATTATTAACACAAAGGCAAAGAATAACAAGTTTTTCATCTAATACTGACAACATCGGGTTAAAGGAAAACTGCAAACATTTCCCACTCTATACGCCTTATCTAAGATGATATCAACTCAAGTGTTGGAATGGGAGATTCACACTATGTCTTCTACCTTCAGGGTTCAGTATGTGATTGGGGTTGTATTTGTAAGCAATCTGTTTATTTTTATACTAAATGAACCTACATAATTACCACCTATTTCCCCCAGACATAAAGATTACTTGTAGCCAATGAGTGACATCCAATTGTTCTGCAGTGGATACATGGCCAACAGAAGTGTACAGCATGCCTTTTCAAAGCTTGTCCAACAGCATTCTTCTTTGTGAAGGATAATTACTTCTTGGACATTAACAGATAGACATTGCATTATCACTTATCCTGTAAGGTTATACTGAGACATTCTCCTGTGTTCCCTCAGCGTCTTTGGCCAACATTTAGCTCTGCAACCTATTCATACAAATTTAAATGCAAGTCTCTGGTCATATTGACTCTAGAAAATAAAATTTGTTAAATTTAAGAGTTAAATATCTTGCTTAAACCTTTCTTCATCTAGAGTGTTAAAGTATTGGTGGAACAATTACATGTGGGTGAAGGAGACTTCAGATGTTTCGAATTATATACAAAATGAAAACACCTAAAAAGCTGTATAATAATTTCTGACTCATTAGTTGTTTTGTTTTATAGCAAACTTAATTTTGTTTGAAAATTCTTTATTTGAAACATTTTCAAAAAGATAGCAAGGAACAAAACAAAACAAAAATAAAATAAAGCAAGATGATGCAAAGTTAGCGGAGAACCATATCAGTTGACTGCATCATCAAAGATGTGCTCAGAGACACAGAGAGATGTTCTTTCTATAGTAAAAAAATATATCCAATTAAATACACCAATATTTCGCAGTAAATGATCATAACCCTCTGACACTACAAACATAAGTCTGACACATATCTGGTATACCATCAAAGAAAGATAAAGTTGGGTTTTATATTGCCTTATTTATAAGCTAAATCTAGAATAACTTTTCACCTTTTAATTCAATATCTATATTATAACGATTCTTTGTTCTCAATAGTATTAATGCTTCCCTTTCCTCGATGTGTAGCTATAACAGAAAAAAACAAACAAACAAAAAAGCAACTAAATGTCATCTGTAAATTGCACAAACTTTTGTTTAATGTTATATTCTTCTTCTGGAAAATGTAATTGTAGGGCATCTAGATACTGAGTGAAATGCAAAGCTGGAAAAGCGTCAAGGGAAATAAAGTTTTGCAATAACTAGGCACCTACTTCCTGACGGCTCCTGCCTTAGATATTCTGTGGTTAATGTGCAAGGAGTCACATACAAGTAGAATATAATCTTATACTTTAGAATTAGTAGATGAGGAGTAATGAGTATGAATAATTGAAGGTGTGTGGGGTGTATGTATGTCTGAGAGTGTCTAGTGTTTATGGATTAGTGTTGAAGTGTATGAAGGTTAGTGGGTT